GTTTCTTTTCATACTCGGGTCGGTCCCGGAGTACTGTCCTCTCGACGGCTTTCATCGGCAAATACATCGCCATTTCGGTGCCTCTCTTGCCCTCCAAACACGTTTGCAGATACTTGTAGTCCAAATAAGTACCTGTCTTACTGTGGTTTGGGTCCACTTTGGCTGACCTCAGGTACCACCCGTCGGCGTAGTCCGGAAATATGTGCACATACTCTATGGCCGGGTATCTGTTCATTAACAAGGGGTTGTTCATCTAGTATAATAAATTAAAAATAAATAATTTAACATGAGGTTTATAGTTTGTAATCAGTAAAATAACAATTTAGTTATTTAATTTATATTAAATAGTTTGTCTGATATGGTCCTTTCCATTATTAAATCTAAAAAGTTTTTAAATGATATTTTAACGAACTTTTCATATTTAATAACAGTTTTTAATATTAAGTATTATTAACACGTATAAACTGTAATATAATTGCTTAAATTAATTATACATTTACAAAAAATAAGATAAAGTTTTATATGGTATAAGTCTAAGAGATTATTATAAAATTATTATTTTATTTCTTTATATTTTAAAAATTATTAATTAAAATTAACACAATTATATAAATTATAATGTATTTAACTTGATTAAAATTTTCATTATTAAAATAATGTTTAATTATCAAATGAAATTAATTACTTTTGCTTGCAGAAAATACATGATTATAGTAATAAATATACAGGTACAAATAATATTACTTTCTAACTGGAACAATTATTTAATTTATTATATACAATTATTTATATTTAATGTACACTTAATTATTTACCACTACAAACAATTACAAGTGATAAAAATTATGTTAAAATATTTTATCTATACAAATACCATATACACGGGTGTTGTACTACAAACCTTTAATTATATGATGACTACGAGAATTAGTGTTGAAAAATGTTATTTACAAAAAATATTGAAAAATATTTTTGTGTTGAGCGATGAAAATGTCACCACAATTATGACCTCAACCCACGCGACACTGCAATATAATTGCTGAGGATTTTTGGGATTAGTTAGAAATGTGTGTATTTTTTATACGACATTCACATTCACGCAAAATATCCTTGAATTGTATGTCGAGTATGTAAAAAACTAACAAAACAAAATGAGTTTGTTGCAAAAATATTTTTGTGTATATAACTTTGTATATAAATAGTTAATAAGTGATACATTGTAACCTAGTTACAATACAAACAATTTTATTATACATAATTCTTGTAAACTAAACTAAAAATTATAACTAATAAATAAATTAAATATTCTAAAGTTGCACTTTTAGCTAGCTAATTTAATATTATAAAATTAATTATAATGGATGTATAGTGTATTATAAATATTTGTTAAGTACTATATGTGTGTATTTGTTTAGAATATTCTGTACATTAATTAACTAGACTTTTAAAGTGGGTTTAGCATTAAGTATGTGTTTGTATGCCAATTATGTATTTATTGTACTGTACAACCGCCCGGTGCTCTGATTTAATGTGTGAAAATATATACTGTGTCTTAATGAGAGGTTAAGTAAGACTAACCTTAAATATTATGCACTGGTAGACTTCTTTTATTATTAGCTATAATCACAATACGCTTTATATAAATACAGTAATATTATGTAATTCAATTAATATTTTAGATACAATGTAAATGATTTTATTAATTATTATTTAATAAAATAATAAATGATACATAAAATATTTATTTTAAAAATTAAAAATATAATCATAGAAATTAGCCAGTTGTAAGATAATCATTGATTTAATGTTTTTAATTAAATAATAAATGTTATATTTAAAATTTATTTATAAAACAAATTAAAAATTCAAATTGAAAAATTAATATAAGATAAGGCGGTTCAAAATATTTAGTGTATTCTATAATAATAATAACAATAATTAATAATAATAATAATAATTACAGTGGCCAGCCTAGTATTGACTGGTTGTAATTAACTATTAATTAACCAGTCGATGGTCCAGTTTGCCATAAAATCTGACTACGATATACAACAGAAAAATACGGCGGGAATTGATATTTACCAGTGTTGTTTACAATGGTGTCGACTATCCAGGTCATGTAGTGGGACACACGGACAGCATATTGAATATCGGTCATATTGTATCCCATACATTCGCATATTTGCGAGGGTTTGCAATCATTATGCTCCGAGGCCACATTAATGCCAATTAGTACAGCATGACCATTTACGTATTGTCATAAGGGGCTACCAGAGTCTCCCTGATACATAATTTTTCAAATATTATATATTGTACTATTAAAAAATTTTCGCACAGTAATTATAATAAAATAGTTTAGTTTGTGTGACACTACCCATGAACAAACTTTTACATATGGGCGAGATTGTGCTATAGTCATCTAAGTATTACAAAATGTAAACTGTAATTGAAACACAAATAATATAATAGATTATCTGATTTTGAATAATAATAATAATAGTTTTATTTAATTTTACGTTATAAATGTTTATTAAACATCAGTATTTAATTAAAAATATAATTATTAACAATTTAGTTAAAAATTTAAATATAAAACTTTAAAATACATCAGAATTAATGTTTTAATTAACTACAAGCAATATTTTATATTAAAAATTTTTCAATTAACAACTAATTAATAATAAAATAATTACTAATTTTTTTGTATACAAATTAAATATAGATATTATAAGAAATTTTAAATACAAAATTAATGAACTAAATGACAGCATGGACAATCCAATCCACATACTTATAGTGCCCCCAATATTATAGTATAAGTCGTTGAAATCCATAGCCAATTGCTCAGTGATTTGTGGCTCAAAGTAATAATCGGGTATTAAATTGATTTGAGTGTAATTTAGATCACTTTTAATTATTAGTAAATTATTCTCGATCATTTGATTTAAACACAAACTTTTATATATAGCATATACATCATGGCAGTTATCTAGTATTTCACTCACAATAGTCTCGTTCACAGAATTGGCGTAATTTTCACAGAATTTATATCCAGAATACTCTAAATGCTGTTCAATACTAATATCGTAGTCAACTCCCATAAGTGGCAAACAATTAAACGTATGATTAAGCTCACGTATTAAACAATTATAATAAGGTGCTTTCAAATTGAAATAACTTTTATAAAATAAGTAATCAGTCAATGAATCGTCACTTTCTAAGCACTGAAATGTATTTCGGTTTAACTGTCGATACGATTTGGACGTAAACCTCACGTTTGATTCGCTATTTTCGGTAATCATAACCAGATTTTCGGATTCACTCGACGCTATATATAATGACATATAACGCACTCCAAGGCTATTGTATTTAAACACAATTCTCTCCAATCGGTTGTCAATTAAAAGTGACTTAATATCCAAAACAAAGTCAGTGGTAGTGTTTGAAAAATATAAATGTAGCAATTCTTGCGATGATGTAACCTCGCTATCACCAGGGTAGAGCCGAATTTTGGTTTCATGAGCTGGGCATGGTAGTTTCAAATTATTTACAAATAATAAATAGCACTCACTTTGTCGATAATCATATATTATATTGCGATATATACTCATATTATTTGTGGACAATATCTTGTAGTTTATTTTTGTGTAAAATATTGGTAAACTATCGGCTATAGAATCTGATTTTAATATTTGTGCAAATTCTTGAAAATAGCCTGGATAATATTTTGATAAAGCTATGATATCACTAATAGATGGGTGTATACCGACTTTTACCTGGGGTAGAGCTATGGTTGGCGTTATAGTAATTGTGAATTTAATGTTATTTTTGCGATATTCTTGGAAAATATCAGTAATTTGAAAACTCATTATTAAAACACTTGCCACAAGTGATATAGTTATTTGTCTCAAGGAATCAGTACACAAACCAAATCAAAACAGGTGTTATGTCAAAATTTGTCAAAATTTAATATTGACCAAAGCTATGGGTCAAAGGTTAAACATTGATTAAAATGTAAATATGTACTGATTCTCTCAGACAAACGACTTTACACATTTTAAATATTTTCCAAAACGGATTAATGTTTTAAAATGAATTTTCCATCTCTTAATCCGTTTTAATCTCCAAATAATAACTCGTATGTTATCTATAGTTGTCGTGACAATCGTATAAACACTGAATCCCATCCACATTCCCATCAGTCCACCCATTGTTGACAAATATGTTATTAAATCCATTTTTGAGCTATAATGCCACACCATGTTAATTTGCTTATAATAAGTATAATTAATAATTGTCACTGGACCATCGCCATATATTTTATAATAAGCGTGCACATTTGTTAAATAATTAACGCACTCAATTTTACACACTATATAGTAGCTTATAATCGGGTCTAACTAAACATTCATTATATGTATTATTTATTATTAATTGACTTTCATTTGTATACATCTGTGAACTCCAGAAGTGATTGTTTTGACACTTTTTGCGCTCAATTTGTTTCATCACTTCTAACATACAGTCGGCTCTGGATTTGTNAACTCCAGAAGTGATTGTTTTGACACTTTTTGCGCTCAATTTGTTTCATCACTTCTAACATACAGTCGGCTCTGGATTTGTGGCCAACACTTGCCATACGATTGGCCTCATAGTCGTAACAGTCTGTCCGATAGGGTCGGGGCAACAGTAGCTGTAGATCCGTGTTAACATCAATGATATATAGCAACAACATTTTATCTAATTTTGACATTTCTATAAAATGCGAGGGACTGTAGATTAAATGTAGGCTTACCTCAGCTCTACTCATATTAGTAAATGATATGGTGGCCACCGGGTGCTTTTCAAAATTGGTATAATAATAATATTAACTTAGAAACGTGAAACAAATGCTGTTATCGTACTTATGTCGCAAATATACTCGGGATACATTTGAACACTTTTCTGTGTCTAACTCGCAAACCAAATGAATATTCCGTAAGAATTTCTGAATTGACTAATTTGTGTTAACAGAATATTCTTTATTCACGCAAACAGTGATCGAATAGTTTGAGAAATAGTTACCAAAACTGCGGTCAAACTTCAAATCAGTGTTCACTTCGTACTCCAAGTAATTGACTGTTTAATCATATATTTGGTACAAAAACCCTGATATCATTAATAACTTAAATAATAAGATATTATTAAAATAATATTTTATCAATTCATACATTATATTAGTAAAACAGAAGTGATTTATATATTACAATAATTTTCTAGTTTTTTTCACTGATTCTAGATACTTCACCTTTGTGAACATACTTCATAAACTATAAATATCAATATAACTACATATTTATATATAATTTATTTAATTGAAAACTAATTACATTACCACAAACAATATTTCCATTAATATTTATTACCTTATTTAAATTTACGTTATTACGATATATTACATAATACATACATAATAAATAATTATTATTGGTTTTTTAATAATGTACCAATCTATCGTATTATATAAAAATTAAATATGAAAAAACTTTATTTTGAAATTAAAGTTTTAATAAATCTTAATAATAATAATGGAAATTTATTTAATTTGCATTTTAGACTGTTATGTATTTTATTAAATAAAATTAATTTGTTGTAAAATTATTTTTGTTTAATTATATGGACATGAGTCACATGACTGAAGCATATGATCGTCAGGGTGCTGAAAAGAGGTATCTATTTTTCAATGCAAACTGTATATATAACATATTCTTTCTATTCATTGTATACAATGTAATATGTGATAGTACTAAAACTAATGATTATGTTATGTATACAGTTTGAATTGAAATATAGATACCTCTTTTCAGCACCCAAACGATCATATGATGTAATACTTTATCACTTAATGTTTGACACATTAAATATTTTATATAAATTAAAACAAAATTTATAAATGCTCTATTCATAAGACTTGTATTCACGAGGATTTGATGAATGAATTTATTTCATCCGTAAATATAAGTCAAGTAATGAACTAAGTTTTAAAAAAAACTTTTGTGTCAATTTGATTCATTTGTTATTGATTTGGATTATATAAGAGAAGGATCGGTGAGTAAACCAATTTTATACTGTAAGTACACAACTAA